AGTTAGGGTTAGGATTATCAATCATTAATCATTAATGATATCAAAGTTGGGAACACTCCTAATGAAGCGTTAGCCGCTTTAATAACGGCTGTGCTGTGGTGCCTTTGGTTGGCAGGCTATCTAGATATCAATGCGTATGCGTGCTGCACGGGAAAGCCGATCCACCAGGGCGGCATACATGGCCGCGTGTCGGCCACAGGCAGAGTAAGTACAAGGGTCGAAACCCTAACCCTAACGGGCCCGCGGACCCGTATTTTAAGGCTCGGGCCTGACATTTCTAATACTAGCAAGCCCGACGGACCCGTAGAAAATCCACCCCCAGCATGCAAAACCGTCCGCGGACTATAGAATTGCCTGGCGGGTCTGTAAATTTTCAATCTAATTTCTACCCCTGAAGTAGCCGGGATATGTATTCGCTGTAACGCGCTGTTCCAACCCTCCCCATTGTCCCAGTCCTGCTCAGAGGGTCTATGTCCCCCAGGGTACTGCCGGAACGTACCCTGGTACCAGAGCATATAAATCAACGTGATTTATATGCTCTGCTGGTACTATCTAATATGCCGGACCGTACCTTGCCTACTACACTAACGAGTCTAGGGAGTCGCCTACGCCTACTCCCTAACCTTAACCCTAACCATATCAGATAGTTACCAGGGTACGTTCCGGTATATCGGACCGTACCCAGGGTACGTTCCGGCAGTACCCCGGGGGACATAGACCCTATGAGCCCCAGTCCTCCCTCGCATACGCGCCTCTCCGTGCGGTAAGTGAATCCCTACACTGGCCTACCTACCGACAACATCTCCCACGCCGCACATCTACTGGAAGGAAATACCATCGTCCCTGCTCCGGTATTTGTTGCTGTTTTTAATTTTGTTCGTGGTAATACTCCGCATGGGCTTGTTATTCACTGCGAAATGTTTTTTGTACGGTGTTGGGGGCAGTGGGTTGGCATAAGCTTTAGCTTTAGTTTATTCCATACATGGGCTGCTTAAAGGTTTATGTTTGTCACGCTACATACCGTATTTACTTCTGTGTAAGTCACACCCCATATTTGTCCATGTAAAGTTGGTACAAACATTTGTACATTAACAGGATTTCTTAGCCTCGTGTAGCAAGTCGCACCCCTGATTTTTTTATCGAGGTTGTGTACAAAGAAGTGTGACTTGTACACGAGTAAATACCGTATTTGCATTGTGTGGCTGGCCTCTGTACAAAGCTATGTTTGCTGCCACGCATGGTGCGCGATACTTACACTACAGAAATTTTGCTGCGTGCAAGTTAAGTCGCGGGGTCGTCACCATAATTAGGAAGGTGGGATCGGTCAACACTCGCGTGGGCACTACATGCTTCTAAACAGAGGAATTGCTCCGACCTGTGATTGGAGGATAAAAATAGACCCCGCCCACTTTTCCATTTTTGGATGATAAAAATAGAATTCGTGACGTTTCGTTTCACCGGTCATAGCCGCGCGTGCATATTTGCTAATTAATTAGACTAATCGCGCTTCAATAGACACAAAAATTCACAGAGATTAAGGCTAAGACATGTGTCTATAATAGCTAGAATTTATAGAAATCTAACTCAAATCGTTCGCTCCATATGATAGTTAGTACACGCATAGCGTATGCGGCGGGAGTGGGCGGGGTCTATTTTTATCCTCCAATCACAGGTCGGAGCAATTCCTCTGTTTAGACGCATGTTGGGCACTGAGGGAGTCCATTCCCTTCGCGCCCCTCCCACAACAGCCACCATCATTCTAACACTTGCCATCTTTGCACTCGCGTCACGCGTCCCATGTGTAACGACCACGCGCAGGGAAGCCTTCTCACTAGCGCCCCCTGTAGGCGAGAGTTCGCTGGGAGTGAGACTGTATCTAAGCTGAACGAACTAAGTTCATTGGATTTCGTTGAAAACTATGAATTCATATTTACCTTGTGTTAAATCCAAGAAATTAACTTACTATCGAAATTTTCATTCAATCAAGTTTCATTCAAATATGAATTCATTTGTATCTAAGCTGACGTTGCGTCTGGCAGGGTCTGTTTCACGGCATCGAACAGTTTGTGAATGAGGCAAGCTACATGAGCGCGATCGGACTCACACCGGGATTCGGAGGAAAGACCTTCATCGTGCAGGTACCGTATACGCCATGTTTTTCGCGTACAGATATTTTCGCGAAATTAGACTTGACGGGCAATTTCGCGGTCGGTGAATTATGAATTATTCGGTATGAATTATTCGCGTGTTCTTATTTTCG